TTGGGTAAGATCGACTCAATTCAATGGAAAAAACAGTTCTAGATAAACCTTATTAACTGGCTGGAGCCTCACATGGAGGAATATTAGACCTTTTGACAAAACCTGAACATCAAGCAAAGTTGCCTTAAGGAAAAAACGGACGACACAAATGAAAGCTCATTTTCACAAAGTGGTCACTGAAATTCCAACTTACTTCTAGTATACTCAGTTTATAGTGTTTTTAACTATGAACTCCAAGCCAGTGAATCAGTAGAAGGGGGGGAAAACCAGGATCATTTATCAAAGATGTCAAGTGATAAGGTTCAAGCTTTTGGTTTCCTTGTTTCTGAAGCTTTCTCTTAATATCAGGGGTACTTTGTCCTGTAAAGATTATATTGACCATTCTGGCATTTTCAGGGCTCTCGAGATCCATATCAGTTAACCCGCGAACATCGTCTTAAGATACTATGGCTGTCTCAAGAGCCAGTCTCACCCGAGGTATTTTCACTTTCCCTAACAGCCAAATCACAACGCCCAAGTAGATGCTATAATACTTGGTACACACAGACAATGGACAGGACTGACACAGAACCACAGTAAACGAATAAATCCCACAAGCTGACGGAGGTGATCTCCACCCCTTCAACCTCTCAGATGGCCCTGCCTGCCGACAGAGGTGATCTTAAAGAATCTCAACCTCCCAGACATATTTACCAGCACTCACACACCCGGAACCAGGACTCTAGAGTCACCAGGAGTCCCTTCTTGATACCCTACTCGTGGAGATCGGTCATCTGAGGCACCTCTCACCTCAGAAACCAAGCGCTCAGGTCTCACTCTGGAAACCTCGGGCCTGCTCTATCCACCCTGGCCCTGAGGGCAACAGGGAGAGGAGTCGCGGACTCACCTTGGGATCCCTCTTATGCAGGTCTTGCTTTTTTTTTACCCACCTCTTTTGGCACTGTTGGGGACCAGCCGTGCCGTTGCAGACCAAGGTCTGGACTATTGTCTCCCCAGAGGCAAATGAAATTTCTCCTGGGTACTTGTTGGGGAGAGCCGTCAATCAGCCCCAAGCCCTACCCCGGAGCCGCTGGGTCTCAAGCGGCTGAAGCTCCCTGTACGGGCCACCAAATTTGTTACCACAATAAAGCAGATTGGAGACGTCTGCCACAGCAGCCAATTCTGAGACGGGGGTGAGGTGAGAAGCAAGAGTTTTATTATATATTGATGTATAGGAGACAGAGGGGAATAGATTCTTCCAGAAAAACAGTCTCCCCGACTGCAAATCGGCTGAAGGCTTTTATAGGGACAAGATTATGGGTCTTAGAAGTTTGTGTTAGTTCCCCCTTGAGGTGGTCACGTCCCAGATGAGTTCATCTTTTCTTGAAGGTTATCTGTCAACATCCTGCTTTTGTTCTCCCAAGATGGGTGCTTTGTTAGACTTGTCATACTTAGGTCATTATCCCTTGTTTTCCACCCTCCAAGGAGGAACATCGGTTAATTTTAAACCTTTTGTACAGACTGCAACAGGAGGGAAAACAAGGTCATGAGACAACGTGGCGGTTAGCAATGGGGAGTAAATAATACTGAGCTGGGCCTATGCAGCCTCTTCCACTAGCACCCTTAGAATAAATTTCAAAGTCCTCCCACAGTCTATATTGTTAGCTGCTGTCCAGTTGAGTCCGACTATGGCAACCCATGGTGTGCAGAGAAGAACTGTGCTCCATAGGGTTTTTAATAGCTGATTTTTCAGAAGTACATTTCCAGGCCTTTCTTCCAAGGTGCCTCTGGGTGAGTTCAAACTGTCAACCTTCAGGCTCTTAGTCGAATACTTAACAGTTTGTGCCACCCACAGTCTATAAGTCCCTGCTTCTCTGCTCCCTGTTCCCTTTACGCCTGTCTCCCACCCCTCCCTGCCTCACTCACTCCACCCTAGGTACGTTGGCTTTGGTGCTGTCCTCTCAGCAGGTCAGGCCTTGCCCAGCCCTGGACCTTAGTCTCCGCTTGCCAGAACTCTTGCCCCCAGATATCAGCAAGCCACCCTCCTTCATCTTTTTCAGGATTCTGCTTAAATGCATTCCTTCATCATCCCTCCTAAGCAAGCACCCCTCCTCCATCACTTCTACCCCAGCCCCACCCCCCTCTTTAGTGTTCTTCATGTCACTTGTCATCACCTACCAGTGTATTATGTGATAGATTTTTGTTGGCATATCTTTTCATTTTCTAATAGAAAACCAAACCCACTGCCATCAACTCAATTCCCACTCATAGTGACCCTAAAGGACAGAGTAGAACTGCCTCATAGGGTTTCCAAGGCTGTAATCTTTATGGAAGCAGGCTGCTACATCTTTCTCCCAAGGAGGGCTTGATGGGTTCAAACCACTGACCTTTCAGTTAGCAGCCGAGTGCTTAACTACTTTGCCACCAGGGCTCCTTTCTAGCAGAATGCAATCAAATTCAATAGAAGGGAATTTGTTTCCTCTGTGGAAAGTGGAGAGAGGCAGGGGAGGGGCTGGATTAGAATGCAATGAAATGCAAGCTCCAATAGAATGCATGCTCCAAGAGGACAGGGACATTGTCTCTTTTGTCTCTGGCTATCAGAAATGCTCAGTGAATACTTGTTGAATGAATGAAGAAATGAGTGAATGAACAAATGGTGGAAATTCAATATTTGATGAACAAATGGAGAAAAGGGTGTAAGGGATCTAAATGAGGATTTTCAGAGGGGTGAGGCATGATCAAGTTTGAGGACCATGGGCATGAAAAGAAAAAAAATACAGAGACTGTTAAGAACGTTTTAAGAGTGCATTTATTGCCTATCCCTTCCCTCAGGCAAGGCTGGGAGTTGGTGATGGGGTGAGAAACCTCTTGGGGACATTGCTAGGAGAGAAATTCTGGGAGAGTTTCCTATTCTTTGTGGATATTTTCATGAGCTGTCTCCAGTACTCTGGCCAACAGGATCAGGAACTCCCTAAAGTCGACCTGTCCGTCATGATCAGCATCCAGCTCTTGGAATAGTTTATCAATGGAAGCTGGATCTTTGGTATTCTAGGAGAAAGGGATAACACAGATTGTGAGCTCAGAACCTCCAGACAAGACCCTTGCCTTCCTCTCTCCAGGCCCCCCATCCCTCGAAGATCAGCTAAGGGGGACTCAGGAACATTAACTCATTAGCCAAAACTGTGGGGGAGAACCTCATGTGAGGAAACAGAGGAAGGAGAAAAGGAACTATGGGGAACCATCCAGGAATCATACAAGACTCCACCTGGACGGTACTCCAGAGGTCACCTAATCCAGCCCCTCCACTGCCTCTCTCCACCTCACATACGAGGAAACTGGGTCACATACGAGGAAACTGATTCTAGAGAGGGGAAGTACAAGCAGCCTAAGGTGATAGGTGAGCCATGGAGACAGGGAAGCAAAGCACCTGCCTGCAGCCATCAGAGAACATCCTGGGGGTTCTAACTGGGGCTACTCCCTCTCCTACTCCTTGTCCCACCGTCATCCTTCTAGCCTTGACACTGCCCTCAGTGCAGAAGTGTGGGGCAGCTTGACGTGAGAGGGGGCATCACCTACCCTGAGGGTGTTTGGAAGCTCCTTTGTGATCAGCTGCTTCAGCCCACCCTTAGAGAGAGTGTCAAAATGCCCCACCCTCACAGAGTACCGGTGGAAGACATTAATGATGCCCTCCATGTAGTCTTCCAGCGTTGTCGACATCTTCCCGACCTCGAGTTGACCTGTGAGGAGAGTCAAGAGCCCCAGCCTTGCCCTGCACCCTACATGCACTTAGTCTTCTCTTTCTGCATCAAGGGTTTAGAGAAAGGCATGGCTTTCCCCGATCTGTATTGTGCTCTCTTGACTCTGTGTCTGACCCATGCTGAATTTTTCACTTATAGATAGGATGGGGAAGAGAAAGATACGTAATACCAACTAAAATCTAAAAGAATCAGCCTGGGTGGCCCACAGTGTTTCATGCCACCCCATTCACGAAGAAGGATAATCCTTAAGGTGTTGCTCACTCATGCTAACCTGGGAAGAGCTCTGTGGTGCATCAGGCTCTTCATAATCCCAGGTGATGGTCTCTGTGCCACACCTCTTACAAACCTTCACCATCACACCCCACCTTAAAACAAAAAGATCAAACCCGATGCCGACGAGTGGATTCCAACTCATAGTGACCCCATAGGACAGAGTTGAACTCCACCATAGGGTTTCCAAGGAGCTGCTGGTAGATTTGTACTGACAACATTTTGGTTAGCAGCCAAGCTCTTAACCACTGCGTCACCAGGGCTTCCACCCAGCTTAGTCATCCGTAAATCCTAAACCTGAGTCTACCTAGCGCAGCAAGATCTGCTCTGCTTGGGACAAAATGCAGTCAAACCAGACGTGCTCAGGCAAGTGGGGTTTGTGGCTTCCCAAGGCCTGCAAAGTGACCAAGTGCAATCACCACCCAGTGGACCCAACCAAGGTAAGGGCACTTACCCCCTCAATGCACAGGCTGCAAGGAGCTGTAGCAAGAAGCCACACTAGTGAGGGACACTGGACCAGTGATGTCTATATAAGGCACTCCAAGCTTGACCTTCAACCATGGGTGAAGAAATCCTCTCTCTGATTCTTCTTGAGGCAATTGCTGGACATGTTCTGTTGCTCAAGAAAAACTTCTAAGCTGTGGCTTTGGCTGCAACACGGACAGCTCAGATTGCAACCACCCCATATCGCACCTCCTGCTCAGCTTGAAACAAACATCCCCGCCCTTGCCTCACCAACTCACACACCCATACCCTGCACATCCTTAACTCTGGGCCATGGCCCAGCCTTCAGGGGTGGCTCCACACCCTCGCCCTAATAAAGGGCTAAGAGAACAGGTTTCGCAGACTGGAAGGCTCCTTCCCGGAGAAGGAAGGAGAGGAAGAAACGTCTGCCAACTGTCTATCAGAGCAAAAATGATAATGACAATAAAAACAACACAAGTAAACTTGTGCCCTTGGAAGAGAAAAGGGACGTTAGTTAAAAACTAAGGAGCTCAATAAACCATGGGCATGAGTTAATAATAACGTATTAATAATGGTTCATTAATTCTAACAAATATATGCCAGAGAAAGACCTAGTGATCTGCTCCCCTAAAGATTACAGCCAAGAAAACCCTATGGGGTAGTTCTGTTCTGTGACACAGGTGGTTTGTGGTTGCTTTAGGAAAATCAGTTATCAGCACCTCGGTTTTGGGCAAGCAAATTGTCAGTTTAAAGATCGTCTAGTTTATGGAGGTGATGCCGGGGTTTTTTGCCTGACCTGGGCTGCCCCTGGGAGGTTCTTCCCTTCTACTGACCAACAATGACCAGAAGAGGCTCAAGTTTTCTGCACCAACAAAGTTTTATTGAGAAAAAGTAGCTGGAGAGCGGAGACAAAGAGGGACAATACAACGCTAGCTTTTGTCTCCCCGAAGAAAGGATTGGGTGGCGCTTATAAAGGTTTTTAGGCGGGAAAAGGCAACATCTTTTTTCATGAAAGAGGTAGGGTTATGAAGATTAGGTGCGGGCGCAAGAGGTAATTCAAGATGGAACCCATAACACAGGCTCCTGGGACTGGATGGCTTGCGCGGTTCCCCCGTGGTGCCAGGTCAATTCTTGTTGCCGGTCGGTCAGTCACCTTGCAGATGTCTGCACAAGATCCAGGGATCAGATTCGGCGGGTTCTTCTGAAAAGCATCTTATCAAGGAAGTACATTGGGTTCTTCTTTCTTTATTGAATGTTCCAAGATAATGGGTTTTCTGTCGTTAGTTAAGCACTTTTTTAGTTCAGGGTCCTTTGCTTAGGGGCTCAGTCCCTTTTTCCCTTCCCTATCTCAGAGGGCGGGCAGCTAAGAGACCTCTCCCTAGGTTGCTCTGGGTCGCAAACTTAATTACTGGAGCACAGGGTCCATTTTCAAGAAGGATCCCAGGGTTTTCAGGCGTGAAGGACCAATACATGTATACCTCCTCACCTTCCCACCTTTCCCATCTCACTCTTCCGGAACTTGACAGTTAGAGAGAGATACCAAGCTGGACTGGTGTCATGGATTGAATTATGTTCCCCGAAACAAGTGTGTATCAATTTGGTTGGGCAAGGATTCCCAGTATTCTGTGGTTGTCCTCCATTTTGTGATGGTAATTTGATGTTAAAGAGGATTAGGTTGGGATTGTATAACACCCTTCCTAAGGTCATACCCCTGATCCAATGGAAAGGGAGTTTCCCTAGGGTGTGGCCTGCGCTACCTTTTGTCTTACAAGAGATAAAAGGAAAGGAAGCAGCAGAGAGTTGGGGACCTCATACCACCAAGAAACCAGCACCAGGAGCAGAGCACATCCTTTGGACCTGACGTTCCTGCGCTGAGATGCTCCCAGACGAAGCGAAGATGGACGACGGGGACCTTCCTCCAGAGCTGACAGAGGGAGAAAGCCTTCCCCTGGAGCTGAACCCCTGAATTTGGACTTCTGGCCTACCGGACTATGAGTAAAATTTATTTACTTTGTTGAAGCTAACCACTTGTGGTATTTCTGTTATAGCAGCACTAGAGGACTAAGACAACTGGTGACCACGACCAAAGCGCCAAGGTAGGAAGAGATTATTAAGGCTTCTGAGATACAATTTTTTAAGTCTCACCTAGTGACCACCATTTACTACCACAGGCTCCCCACTGAATGTTCTGTGTTAGCTGCTGTGGCAACATAAATTGAAAGACTCAGAACCTCAGGCCCGACATGAGACACCACTGAGGTCTGGACTTGGACCCAAACCATCCCTGCAGGACAGCCTGCATCAAGGCCTCGGTCCATCTATAGAACCACACGGCCAGTCCTCAGCAGCCACAGCTTATAGCTAGGAGGATAAGTAAGTGTCTTAACAGAATAGATTCCGGCAATAGAGTAAGAAAGCCCCTGAGGTGTTTGGACAATTCAGAGGTGGGAGAAGCTTCACGAGGAGGAACTGAACAGGTAGGAGCTGAAGCAACTGATGAGAAAAATAAGATATATGTAGTGGGTTTCCCTACCACCACCCCACATCTGTCAATTTGTCATACTATGGAGGTTTGTGTGTTGTTATGATGCTGGAAGCTGTGCCACTAGTATTTCAAATACAGCAGGGTCACTCACAGTGGACAGGTTTCAGTGGAGCTTCCAGACTAAGACAGACTAGGAAGACAGATCAGCTGATCTACTTCCGAAAATTAGCCAATGAAAACACTATAGATCACAACAGAATATCGTCCTATGCAGTGTGGAAGATGAGCCTCCTAGGTTAAAAGACACTCAAAATACACAATGGCCACAACAATGGACTCAGACATACCAACAATCATGAAGATGGCACAGGACTAGGGAACGTTTTGTTATGTTGTACGTGGGCTCACCATGATTCGGAGCCAACTCAACAGCAGCTGAAAACATCAATGGTATTTTATTCTGAACTTATGCAGGACATCACAACCATTATATTTTGGGATCCGATCCAGCTTGTGTCAGCATCATGGACTAATTTATTCCTTCAGAATTAGAACCGACCAGTGTTTGACACAAAGCTGTCACACAGCTAGGAAGCTGGATGGATGTGGACCATCCAAAGTCAATGCTTTCTTTGAGGATTCCTGTGAACGGGGATGAGGCTGAACTTAAAGGCATCTTCCAGGATGATTTTGTTGTTTTTGCTGTTTGATTTGGTTCCCTCACACCCCCCACTTTTACTATTACATTCCATATAGTTTTGAGACATAAAAAAGGGTTAGATGCAGCTTAGAAGCTATTTACAAGACAAAATAAAAAAGGAACACCAGCAAACCTACAGGAGGCTTTTAGTCCCCCGATAGATAGAAGGTGTTTGGCTGAATATTCCAAAGAGCAGAGAAGGAAAATAAAGAACTTTTTGTGCACTGAGAAATCTAACTCTCAGAGCCCCAAAAAGATAGCAGAGTAAGTAGGTGCTTCAAGAATCATTTTTAGCATCCCTACCACAGACTCTGAATTTCTTAGGACACTGAACATCGTCCTGGAGAAAGATGGTCTGGCTCACAGTGCCTGAGGTCTGAGGGTCCTGGGGATGAGTTCACCCTGTGGCTCTGAGCCTTGGCCTGCATCCTGAGGCTGGGGTAACATCCAGGGGCAGCTGTGGGGCTGATCACACAGTCCTCCAGGAGAGGGTGAGGGGCCAGGAGGGAGTGATTGCCAGGAGCTGTCGTTTTACCCTTGGGGAAATGTAAGAGTGACAGCCATCAGAGAAAAGGGAAAAATTAAAGAGGCTGTGGGATGCCTTCTGATTATGCCTCACAGGGTGCTTATGGGCTTCATGTACATAAAGTATCCTTAGCTGTGGTGGAGAACACAGAGGCCTTACCATGTGTGCTTGGCGCTATGAAGAGTTATGTGGTCCCAGAAGGATTTTCTGGAGAGCTGGGAAGACATCCAATGCTGATAGATCCTTTGTTCCAGAAAGCTACTAGAGAAGACACCAGAGCCCAGCAGTATGCTAAGCAGGTTCAACCAGATCAAGTCACGGCAGAGTTACCCTTCATGAAGGGCTGGAACGTGAGAGCTTCCAGGTGTACTAGAATTGGTGAGCCTGATTCCAAAGAGGAAGAAAAGGCTCTGTCCACAGAAGGTGGGAAAAGAGAGAGGAACACAATTCATTTGAGAAAGCAGCTAGGGCCTTGCACAGGCTGAGGCATCAAGCTGGGAGTTTGAGTTTCCGCTTAGAACATCATTCCAGTAGGAAGTCCGAAAGTTTTGAGGTCTGGGAAGGGACTCTTTCTGTGACAACTTCTAAGTGCCTGAGAAATAAAATTGGCCATCCTTTAGCTTTACCTGTGGGGAAGATGGCCATTTTCTGGTGACGTGAGCCCGAGCTGCAGATTTGCCGTTAGCATTCCAGAAGCTGAGACGTATCCTCAAAGGTTTAAGAGAGAAACAGAAGTTCAGAGTGTGGAGCTCAGCATCCCAGGAGGATTCAGCTCAGTTAATACCAACCTCTCTTCCTGTCACCAGCTGCAGATAACAGTGTGGGTTGGTGATGAGATCTCGAGTCAGGGGAGATGTGGTGATGTCCACACCAGACACCTCTCCCATGATCATCCAAAGAGAAGTCACTGGAGGTCATCACAGCCCCCTACCCTGCATCCCACAGCGGAGAACATGGAGATGAGAAGAGTTTTCTCAGCCAGGAGAAAGAGATCTCCCCTTTCCAGCCTCTGGAATCCCAGAATTAAGGAAGTCCAAGGACCCTGCAGATGAGAAACGTGTGGGAAAAGACTTGATCTGGGAATCAGTCCACCCTATGATTCAAATCCAAATCATCACTCTCATGCCTTTAAGTCCAAAGCAGTTGTAGCAGTTGTTCAGTCTCAGCTCAGCCTGGCTGACCAGAAACTCCACTAGACTCAGTGGAAATCCTGCCAGAGGACATGTCCCAGCTCAGAAGTATTAGCTACTGAGGTTTTTATATCAACATGTGGTGTTACCTCCTGAAGGAGGTGGTAGGAAATTCACCTCTTATCCAAGTTCCCTGCAGGGTTCCTTGAGTGCCCCCAGAAGAATCCACCCCCATATGAACTTGTTTCCTGTCAGGCACACCAATCCTTGCTCTGAGAGAAAGGATTTCTGGAGACAGTTGACTGTCCCTTCAAAAAGACTGGATATGGGAGCTCCTAAAATCAAACACTATGCTCATCAAAGGACTTCACCAAAAGAGTCAAAAGACAACCTACAGACTGGGA